TTTCAACTTTCCAGGCTTTTTTGATTACCCTCCATTTCTGATGGGTCTTGTGGGATTTCTGGGCTTTTCGGATTTCCTCCCCATTTCCGAAGGGTCTTGTGGGGTTTCCTGGTTTTTGGAATTCCCCCCATCATTTCTGATGGGTCTTGGGGATTTCCTGGCTTTTTAGAGTCCCCCCCATATCCGATGGGTCTCAGTTTTCCAGGCTTTTTGGATTCTCCACACACACCCCCCACATTTCTGATGGGTCTTGGGGAATTTCCTGGCTTTTGGGTTTTTTCCCCCATTTCCGAAGGGTCTTGGAGGGTTTCCTGACATTTTGAATCCCCCCCCAATTTCTAGTGGTTCCGGGGTGGTTTCCATTTTTTCCGATTCCCCCTCTTTCCAAAGGGTCTTGTTGGGTTTCCTTGGTTTTTGGGTGCTCCCATCCAATATCCAGTAGATTTTGTGGGGTTTCTTGGCTTTTTGGACCAGAAGGGATTGTGACGAGATCCTGAAGCATCTCTCCAAACTGGGAGAATGGGTGGAAAAATGGCAAATACGGTTCAATATGAAAAATTGTAAAGTCCTGCACACTGGGACATAAAATCAAATATTTTTTTTTAAAAAAAAAACAACTGTCCATGATGGATGAGGAAAGGGATCTTGGTGTGCTAGTGGATAGCTCGATGAAAGGGCTAACCTAGTATGCGGCGTTAATGAAGGTCAATTCCATGATCGGGATAATTTAAAAGGGGATTAAAAATAAAACTGCCAACTTAGTCATGCCATTGTATAAAAGGCTGGTAAGGAATCACTTGGAGTATTGTGACCAGTCCTGGTCAACGCAGCTCAAAAAAGACAAGAGTGGAGCTTGAAAAGGTGCACTAGAGATTGAGTGAGATGATGACTGGGCTGTGGCCCCTCCCTGATCAGGAAAGGCTATAGCGTTTGGGGCTCTTGAGACTATAGATGGGGGGACGTTACAGAGATCTATAAAATTCTGCAGGGGGTGGATCAAGTGTATAGAGGGAAGCTCTTTTCCCTCTCACAAAATACTAGAACCAGGGGACATCCACTCCAATGGAGTGTTCGGAGAGTGAGAACAGAGGTAAGAAAACATTTCTTTACCCAGCCTGTCGTTAGTCTGCGGAACTCCATGCCACAGAATGTGCTGGTGACATTCTGTGATGCCTTGAAAAAGGGGGGATTGGAGAAATGTCTGGAAGTATAGTCCATCACAGGTGATCAGCCATGATGGGGATGTATAATCCCCAGGTTTCGAAGTAAGGGAGCTCAAAAGGCCAGATGCAGGGAAGTGGTATCGGGAGACAAGTCTCTTGCCGTCTCGTGTGCTCCCAAAGGGATCTGTTAGAGCCAATGTGATTTATGGGAGACGGGACAACCCCTTTCAAGATGATCAGAGGGACTTCCTTCCAGGAAAGTCAATATAGGATTGCCACCTAAAGATGATCGGAGAAGAATGAAGGGAGTGTGTTTCTTCATTTCCTTTGTTTCAACAGGTCTGATCAAAGCCCGGCTCACCAAATAAAGCAGCAGCAGCATTAGAAGGAGAGGAAGAAAGCAGAAGGTCAAAGTGAAGGAGGTTTTTTAACTTTCCAGCTATTTCTTGGATCTGTTACAAGGAGGCATCGAAGTGTGCTTAACAATGAGGTTCACAAGTGCTCAGAGTCCTGGATGCTCCAATCCAACAAGAAACGTGTTTTATTTTTCCTCTTCCCATAATTTTCTGCTCTTTCCCAAGGGCATCAGGGAACCCCAAGGGATAGCCCTGCCTGCCTTCCATCAGCTGACATCTCTTTCAGGCTTGGGAATGAAAT